ACATCCAGAAGCAAGAGACACGCATAGGACAGATGTTGGGGGAACACCGCCTACCGACAATTCTTGCGCTCGAAGTTTAGCTGAAAGGGAAAGGGGGGGGGAGAGAACTAGTTATTTTAAGTTAAACTTTACTAACTGTACTATGGCTCTAGAGGTTTTCACGAAGTAGACGGCCTGAGCAATTTGCCAAGCAGCTGAGACAGTTTAGACCAGAAATTATAACAGGCGCGCTCTCCGGGTTTGGAAAAAATGTCAGGCTACCTTCCCCCACGCACAGAGTCCCCCAAAAGCCGCTAGGTTGGTGTATACGCAAGCCGGGAAGCAAATTACCGCTTGCACGCAGTGAAAGTCAAGCCTCTCACTTGGCTTCTGCAAAATCGCTAAGAAGGCGCGAGGTGTGGCTTGTCAGCTGGGATGCAAACAAAAACTATCCCGTTCCATCAAGAAGCGCTCGGCACTGCAAACACGAACCTTTGCAAAGCTCCATTTTTGGGGCGCAGCCCACCCAGCCACTAGGCTCGAGGCATTTGGTGCTACCGGATCACGCGCGTAAATACTCCCCACGCTCCCTGCCCAGTCTTAATACGTTTTTATTACAGTCCTGCTCTTGTACGACGGATAGGCCGCCCCAATCAAACACGACTCCCGCTCACCGCTTCGGGCAGCGCCAGGCCCCCCGCAATTCTGCCGAACCAACCAAGGATTCCTCCGCCGGGACTCCGCTAATCGTTGTGGGCACCCTCCCCTTTGACCCGCCCCCTCCCGGGCTTTTATAGTTTACCCTCCGCTGCACGTGACTTCGTGCCCCGGAGGATTCCCGGCCACTCCTTCCCCGGCCGCTGAAGGGAACCGTCAGAGAAAGCGGCGAGGGCCAAGCTCCACCTAGCGGCAAGCCAAGTAAAGCAATTCGCCCTGTTGCCCAACTTCTCACGCGGGAACCACCAACTTTTTCACAGGAAACAGCACACTTTCTGGTAAGCAGGTTCCTTGGTAGTTCAGTAGAAGTAGCCCTCGACTTACAACCGTTCACTTAATGACAGTTCGAAGTTACAAGGCACTGAAAAAAATAATTTATGACTGTTTTTCACATTTACCACTGTTGTAGCATCCCTATGGTCATGTAATCAAAAGTTAGATGCTTGGGAACTGACTCACATTGATGACAGTTGCAGTGTCCTGGAGTCCTGTGATCACCTTTTACAACCCTCTGACAAGCAAAGTCAATGGGAAAACCAGATTCATTTAACAACTGCAGTGATTCACTGAACAATTGTGGCAAGAAAGATTGTAAAATGGGGCAAAATTCACTTAACTAATGTTTCCTTAGCAACAAAATGTTGGTCTCAATTGTGGTGGAGGATTATCTATAGTCTAATTTATAAGTTGGGTTCTGTCAATCCCTTTAAGATCAAGATGTCTGAGGTACAAACAGCATAGAAAATGGCTTGTTTATATGTAAGGATATAAATGATGCCTTCATTTCCCTAAAAATCACTTTCTTGTTCAATAACATAAATAAAAATGGAAATAATTTAGTGAAAAGACTACACCAGTATTAAGAATGGGATAATGAATGATAATACATTATTAATAAATGTTTAATGGGTCTTACAGAGCTTTGGGGGAGAGCAAATTGCTGCTATGGTTAAAAATAAATGGAAATTTGATTGCATAACCTTGCTCATAACTGGTCTGTGTAGTTTCAGCATGGGAATCAGTCTGCCAAATCAGACTTAAACTACAAGGGGAGATAATTTTGCAACAATTCCATGATAAGGCTGGGACTCAGCTGAAGTACTAAATGTATTAAAAAGGATTGTTGAATCATATGTCAGGATGTTGAAACAAAATAATTTTAATTTTTCATCAGATAGTCTTGCAAAGTAGGTCAGGAAAAATTGTTCAAGCTTACACTAGCATATCTCATGAAGGCCATATTTAATCTATGGCAACTATTTGCAAATTAAAATGATGCATAAAAGAATAATGCATTTAATTTTTTAATAAGTGATGCTTGAGTTATGTTCATTTATATCATTTATATCAATTCATAAATGATTTTAATAGCACATACATTTTAACTGAATTATTTTAACTGAAATAGTTAAAATAATGGCAGTCTTTGTTTAAATTACAATTTCCACAATCCCTGACAATTTGGACAGAATAACTGGCTGATAGGTGGATAGATGGAGCCCAACCAACTTTTAAGAGCAAGATTCCACATGGATGAACTATAAGGATTATATTTGCAGCTTTGAGTAGGTCTTTATAAATATTGGAGTAAAAATAGTTGTGTACTGCAGGCAGCTTATACAACTTGCATGTTTCATATCGCCTTTCATGTTAATTCCTATCTTAACCCAAAATCAAGTACAACTTACTTATATTATTTATTCTATATTTATGCTTATTGCTGGTTTTTGCAACATATACATTTTTTCTTATCTATTGTTTCTTCTTAGCTTTGATCAGATGCAGGAAAAAAAGTCTGATCATAAAGACATTCCAATTGGTCATAAGTTGCTTGCATTCTGACAACCTGGTTTCCCTGCAATCCCCAGAAGTATTTTTTTTCCTCATGAGCCTTGGCATCAGTGTGGATTTGTTGTCGGAAAGCCTCATGGAAGGTCAAACTGGAGTTTACATTCACCCATACTATTATCCTGGGCACCCGCATCCTCTTGTTCCGAATGGGGTTATCTGCTGGTCCTGGACTTGAACAGCAGATAACAGTTGTGCCTCAGATGGCCTTTGCACAGCTTTGTATTGTGCACCAGTTGTGTCTGTTCCTGGACCAGGACATCCTCCTTAGCCACTGGTGTCTTAACTACCTGCCTATTGGATTACTGCAATATGTACATGAAGCTATCCTTGAATATTTGAAAGCTTCAGCTGGTGCAAAATGCAGGTATGGAGGTAGTCATGGGTGCCGATTGCTCAGCACATGCAACACCTCTGTTCCCTGAGCTACACTGGTTAGCAGTATGCTTCTGGGTGAAATTCTGGTAGCTGCATTTAAAGTTCTTCATGGTTGGGGGCTGGGTTATGTGCAGACCATTTCTCCTCAGAGATGTCTACCCATCCTGGTTGGATATTGCAAGTCCCAGGCAGCTTTCATGTAGGTTGATAATTAAGTGTCATGGAGGGTGGCCAGGTGGGGGAAATGGTCTATATCACTGTGGGCAGGGGTTCTGAGGCATTGTGTAAGATAGATGGGGGAGTAAAGGTGCCATGAAGGCAGGGAAAAGGACTGCCAGTTCAAATAGATGCTGAATGAGCAGTCATTAACCAAGAACTAACTGTACATTCTTCCATTACATTAATCCAGACTAAATCTTTTGTATTCTCTTGTTTGGAGAGCTATGTGGATTTTGAAGAAAGAGTTCTATTTCCACATAGATAATAAAACTGTATTTTAAATGTAGTGAAATATAAGGAACAGGAAATGTTCCTCTGAGAGTAAGATGAGTAGTCCTAAATTTGATAAATTAATAAATAATAATCTTTCAAAGTTTTGGAAGAACAATTCCACCAGTAGAAAAATAGTGTGTGAATGTGAATATGTAAAAGATGAACACGTCAGGAAGATGAACATATATCTATTTATATAGAATGCTGTACTTCTTGCCTAAAATTTTAGCAAGCTCTTTCCATTGGAAAATAATTAATTCATGTCAAAAGTCAGTTAAATACTTGGATATTATTTCAGATATCTAAATAACTAATTCCACCATCTAGATCTAAGAAAAGTAAAAAAAAATATCCCTGTGCATAAATAAATTGTGGAAGCTGCATTTTACATGCACTGTAATATTTAGGTACATTTATGATCAATGGCCATTTATTAAGGTGCTATATTCTGTCAATCAGATCTGATTATATGGATAGTTCCATATAACAATAGAGAAAGTGTCTGTACCATTTATTTATTAGGAAGAATATCACTTGAGCTTTGTATCAAGCAAAGTTGTTTTCATTTGCATACAGATGTGACTCCTCAGTGTTATTTATTTGTAAAGGCATACACATGCAGGCAGAAAGACAGTTTGTTACTTCTGGTTCTATTGCATAGCTTAAAGATGTTTTTTCTACTTAGCACTTTTTTAAAAATTGCCCCTCACTGCATGAAATAAGTGGATTTTAAAAAAATAAATAAGATGGTATACCTTTTTTAATGAAAGCAAAAACAATACCCCTTGAAAAGTAAAATAAAAACAAAACATGAAAGAAACTAGTATATTCTGCTAATTCAGAGTGGCCCTTACTCTGAATTGTTTAGTTTCCCAACTTTCATAATCACCAACTAGTGCAGGGGTAGGCAATCTTGGCTCTTTTATGTCTTGTGGATTTCAATACCCAGAATTCCTGAACCAGCCATGCTGACTCAGGAATTCTGGGAGTTGAAGTCCACAAGTCATAAAAGAGCCAAGGTTGCCTACCCCTGAACTAGAGTATTCCAACCAATGGGGGGGGGGAGACAACTCTCCTTTACCCATTAGTACAAACAGCAATATAGAAAGAATCTTTTATTATAACATGCATTGCATTTTCATTTACGTCTATTTTCATTGCCTGCATAGGATCGATATTTGTCCTGAGAATAAGTAACTGTAATACTTAGGTTTAGCAAGAAAATATGTTTAAAATCAAGTTATATAAGTGTATTAAATTCTTTTCATGCGGTTTGGTCTATTAGTTTTATACTATCTGAATTAAGAGTTCTTTGCAATTGAATGTTTATTTTTTTTTGTAGAAAAGTTTTCGTAATTGGTTCTAGAAAAGTATACTCTCTTCTTTCGGCATTTTTTTAAATTTTTGTGTTCCCGTTATATTTCTTTCTTACTCAAGCCAATTGCAAACTCACGTCCATATTCTTGCTCAGAAAACTACATTTACCTTCTTACGCCCATCATGTCGCACATCATCCCTAGTTAAGTGAACTATGGACCCCCACCAGGACTAAATAAACCCAGATTCTACATACCCTCCCCCAATAAATCAGTGTTAAACTATGTTATTCTTATCGATTTGATATATATACAATATAATGTAATGTATAGAAAAATAGATTTTTAATTAAAAACCTGGAAACCCAGATAGGCATCCAAACTCCAGATCTGGGTTTAAAAACCCAGCACCGGAATCCTACACCCCACTTTGTGCCACCAACTAGCCGACCTCGATTTACGGACGCAGTCCCTTTCTCACAATCATCCGCCCCAAGCCCAACGATCCCAAAGTGTGTCGGAAGCTTTCCAGACGTCTCATCTCCGCTTTGGTCTCAGGGGTCTCCTCAGTTGAAATGAGGGAGAAAGCGAAGAGCTTCAATCGCACCACTGCGCGTGCGTGGAGTGCAAACACAACTCATCCGGTCTTGCCCTTCCGAGGATCTGTGGAGTTCCGTAGGATTACGAGACCCACCTTTCGTTAGAGGAATGGCGGCGCCGGCGAGCGATCCGGAAACAATGCAAAAACAAGTAAGTACGGTAGTACTCGGCTTCATGTGATAGGAAAGTGGTGGTGAGGTTCTAGGAAGTTGGTAAGTGGGGAATTGAAGTAATAGGCACTTACTGTCCGTGTTCTGAAGTACACTGTCTTGGAACGTGGAAGTTATAATTAGCTATATCATCGTTAGTAGTTTTCAAAACATCTATCCTTATTAAACATAGGTAATCCATTGAATGTATGGAATCTGTCAACTTATTAACTGGTGAATTCTTTGTGTGAATGGGGGCTAATCATAATTTACTTGTGGAGAAATTGATAACCTAAATACATGGATACATTGTATAAATGTTTCATTAAGGAAAAAATCCTATCCAATGTGTAGTGTTTTGTTACCTGTTCTGCTACACCAATTCTTTCCGGCATGACTTATTATATTACTTGCTGCAGATGGTTTACACCAGGGATCTTCAAACTTGGCCGTTTATGACTTATGGACTTCAACTCCCAGAATTCCTCAGTCAGGAAAAGTGGGAGAGTGGGACTACTAAAACCTAGCACCTTATAGAATTGTGTGTATTGTTGTTCTTGGTCTCCTTTTTTGAAGTTCAAGGGACATGTTTACTTCATGCAACTTTCATTTTCCTTAAAATTAGAAAGCATTAATAATTTATTTGCCCAGTGTTCCTATTATTTTGATTTCCTCAACTATATCTTTCCTACTGACATGTTAGGTCAAGGCAACTGATGCTCTTTTTCATACGTACATACATACATACAGTTGCTATGTGTTTTCTCCACTCTTTGAATACATAATATAAAAATTATAGTTCAAAAAAGCAGAAATAGATAATACTTTGTGCTGGCGTGTACAAATATTATACACAACAGGAAGTAAAAAAATAACTTCAAATGTGCATATTCTTCTTACTCAGTATTTGAAACTGAAGATAATATCAAATATTTAAATTCTGAGTCTGATTTATATATGGCTGGATTGCTAGATCCTGTTGTAGCTGATCTTTATTTTGGGAGCTTTTTCATATTTTTAATAAAAGCAAATTATATATCTGAGCTTTTTACTCTTCCACTGAAAGCACCTCAGAGTTTCTAGAGAGATATTTATTTCCATTCTCTGTAAGCTATAATGGTAAACAATTTCTGAAAAATCTTGCCAAGAAAACTGGAGGGACTTGTCTTAGAGAATTGTACATAATTGGACAGAAGGGAAAAAAGGGGTTCAAAGTAAAATAACTTAAATATATAACATCATTTTTTGTAGACCGAAGAAATTGAAGCTCTGTCAGCTATCTATGGCAATGAATGGTGCATTGTTGATGAAGATGAGAAAATTTTTTGTATTAAGATTAGTGATTGCTCAGCACAGCCAAAGTGGACTCTCAATTTGCAGGTAAACTTATAGTTATATAATTGGGTCTATAGTTTGAAAATAGACGTCATCAGAGTAGAAAGTTCTTCTTTGTAGGTTTTTCTTTTTCTTTCTCTAGAACAGTTTTAATGTTGGGTAAAGTTGTTTTTTTTAAAAAATGCTAATAATGCATGCAGTTCTCCAGAGAATTGGGAAGGGGGAGAATTAAGTGTCCTTTATGCTGCTGGAGCACCATCTTGTTGATATTAAGAAAGTTGATGAACCCTGAGATCTGTGCCTGTTTATACAAAAACAAGTTGCACTTTCTTTATTGTATAGGACTGTGTGGTCTAAGACTACATCTTTTTGTGTACTTTTATAATGTTACAGAATTTCAGAATTGATCTTATGGATATTTTACCCAGTTCTTTTTAAAGAAGATACTACTGCTGGTTGATCTTGCAGGTGATTCTGCCTCCTGAATATCCAACTTCAGCACCACCTATTTATCAGCTTAAGTAAGTACATGCTTTCTAAACATATAACATTTAATAATAGACAACTCTTAACTATAACCCTCCCCAAATAATTTTATTATAATGTAACAGAAACTCTAAAATATTTTCATTTTTTAACTTTCCTACATAACAGCCATAGCTGTTTTATTGCCAGACATCAGCAGCTGATACTATGAATCTTATATATAGCTTTAATTTCTGTTTGAGGTATTTTTTTTATAATTGCCATTTTGTTTTGCTTTCAATTTGTTTGTATTTTATTTTGTGTTACTTTTATTTTGGATTGTATTATTTGTTGGTTCTGTTGTTAATTTCTGCTTGCCAGTCTGTAAGTTGTGAATATGGGGCATATAAAGGAACTCAATGAATAATAAGGAAATTCATATTGTTTAAAGAGGAGAAAAAGAAAATAAAGACAAAGGATGCATTTATGTAGAATTGACATAAAAAAGACACAAATAAACAGAAAGATTTTAAACAATTGTTCAAAAAATATAATGGGTACCTCACACATGTCAGAGAGGGAGCATTCCAAAGTGCAGATACCAACTGAGAAAATGTGCACCCATATCTCCAGTGTCTCATTATCAGGGTTCTTGATTATCAGATTGATTTCTTAAGAGAAAGAGAAGTTATGTGATCCCCTTATGAAATAGATTATCTGGATTAATTTCAGTCTGAAAATGGTATTGATCACTCTAATGGATGTTTGCTAGCAAGATTTAGATGGAGAATGTGCATCCTCTTCTTAAACTTTCAGTGACATTAAATATCATCAACTGTGATATTTGGGGGCTTGCTGCTTGTGAGTGTAGAGCAGGGGTGTCAAATCAATTTCATTGAGGGCCAAATCAGTATTGTGGTTGCCCTCGGGGGGCCGGGTGGGTGTGGTCAGGGTGGGTGCAGCCTACTGGGTGGATGTGGATGGAGTGGGTGTGGCCTACTGGTGGGCATGGTCAGCTCTACATCATTTGTGTCAATGGTGCCTGTGGGGACCTGGGCAGGAGTGGGACAGATCTGAGGGTCTCCGTCAGAAGGGGTGGGACCAGGGCAAGTGCCAAGGCATGGTCCACTGGAGGAGCCTCATTGTTTCTCTCAGGCCATGGGGAGGGGTTGGATGGTGATGTGGACTGCCCGGAGCCCTGGGCAGCAGAGGTCAAATGCCCAGCCTGGCCCTTGAGCACCCATGGCACCAAGCCCAATCCCACTTCCCCAAGGGAAGTGGCCAGCACATTGCCTTCACCTATTTCACATATCTGGCTTGGTGGGCTCTGGGGGAGGGGATGCCATGAGCAGCGTGAGAGTCAACGTTACCTGTGCAATGCCGCCCAGCCCCCAGCCTGCCCGGTTTCGGCAGGCAGCGAGGCGCTCTCCTAACAGCGCAGAGAGGCTGAGCCAGGTGGTGCGAATCCGAAAAGAAGCGCAACGCCGCCCAGCCCCCAGCTTGCCCAATCTCGGCAGGCAGCAGGGCACTGTCCTCACAGTGCTGAGAGGTTGAGCTGGGCGGTGCGAAGCTCACCAGCTTTGCACCTTGCTGCCTGCTGAAACTGGGCAGGCTGGGGGCTAGGCAGCATTGCACTTCTCATCAGATTCGCACTATCCGGCTCAGCCTCTCGGCGCTGTGAGGAGAGTGCCCCGCTGCCTGCTGAAACTCCTCCCCCGGAGCCCATCAAGCCAGATATGTGAAGTAGGCCAGAGCCATCTGCTGGCCACTTCCAGGCGATGGTACATTACTTCATTCCTCAGAAAGGGTGACACTTCCCCAGCATGCACCCGGGGGATCGGGCCGACGCAGCAGGGGCTGGTTCCTCGCTGTTTCCAGACGGCCTTGTGGAGCTAAGACTGAATGCATTTCAGCATAGATGGCCACCACAAAATTGTACATTGGCTCCCTCCTGGCCGGCCTGGGCCAGGGTCAAGGCAGTGGGGGCTGTTCCCTCACTGTTTCCAGGATGGCTTCGCAGGCCATATGAAACCACTTCGCGGGCCGTATCCGGCCCCTGGGCCTTGTGTTTGACATGTCTGGTGTAGAGGATTGGAGACATGGTGCATGGTCTTTTGTTTTCTGGGTGGGCAGTCCTAATCAATTGTGGATAGTAGGGGTCAAACCCTTGTATAGTCCAGGGTTGGGTACTCAGGAATTGGTTTTTCTGTTTTTACATATGTGTGAAATTGCAGGGAGAGGTCATCCAATAACTCAGGTTGTCAGATAATGAGTAGGTAATATAATCAAGCTTACCTCTCATACTGAGCATGCAGTGGAAGATGTGTCAAGGAGAGAGCCTTTGCTCAGCTTCAAATAGTGTGCCAGTTTGGCCTTTCCAGGATCAGCTGATAATGGTGACAATAGTTTATGCCCCTAATCTCTTGGTTAGATTACTGCAAATCACACTTCATGGGGTTTCCCTGAAGGCAAGTTGGAAGGAGCGTGGCACTGAATGTAGCTACCTACATGATGATTAGAAATAATCGATTTAGTAGAATTGTGTCAATTTTGTTGGGAGTGCACTGATAGCCAGTAAGCATTCAGATGCAGTTTAAAGTGTTGGTTATCCTTTATGGCTTGGCTTCTCATTACCTTTACTACTATATCATCTGGATAAATTCTGTCTGCCCAACACATTTAGACCAGTGGGGGAGGGGCAATCTTGTAGGTTCCTTTCCCTTGAGACATGAAGGTGGTGGAAACTCCAAAGCAGGCTTTCTCGGTCATAACCTCCTTGCTCTGAAATAGCATACTTCCCAAGGTCAAGTTGGCCTCCTCCTTACTGTCATTTTACAAGAATGCTAAAACAATGTTTTTGCAAAGAGCCTTTGGTAGAAGGGTGTTATCTGACCGGAAGCAGCTGCTGATGGGGCACTGATAGTTTAGGTCAGAGTTTCTGAACTTCAACCACTTTAAGATATATGGATCATCTCCCAGAATTTCCCAGCCTTCAACTCTATGAGTTGAAATCCACACATCTTAAAGTTGCTGAAGTTGAGAACCACTGATTCATGCTACGGTGAGGCTAGATGTGGGAGTGTTCTTATTCTGTATTTTACTCTGTTAAACGTTAGGCTACTTAGAAACCTAATTTTTACTTAAACATACATGCTGTCCAATTCATTGTAGAACTTAGAATGAATTGGGGAGCACACATATTTATATAATAATTATGCTCTATACAATATAAACTAAAAATTTAAACATACATGTTTAATAACTATACTGTAACTATACTTATTAATAACATACATGTTTAATAACTATACTGTAACTATACTTATTAATAACTATACTGTAACTATACTTATTAATAACTATACTGTAACTATACTTATTAATAACATGGTACATAAATAGGGTATGGTTTAGAACAGTGTTTCCCAAACTTGACAATTTTAAGGCATGAGGACTTCAACTCCCAGAATTCCACAGCCAGCGTTGCTGGCTGTGGAATTCTGGGAGTTGAAGTCCACATGCCTTAAAATTGTCAAGTTTGGGAAACACTGGTTTAGAAAGTGCTATCAATAGAAACTGGCATGTTCATTATGTTCCAGTGCTCCTTGGATTTTACAAAAGGAATATGCAGAACTGGCAAATCATCTAGAAGAAATCTATGTGTAAGTAGTACATATTTCTATCCTGTTTTAATGTACAGTTTAAAAAATGCACAGTATTTGTATTTTTAAAAAATCTAAATACTCATAATTCCAGCAGGTGGCAGTACAATGCAAAAAGTGTAATAAAACTCATCTATTTCCTGAAAATTTAGATAACTAGATTTTATACGGGGCCGCTTTTCTTTCATGATCAGGATTACTTTAAAAAAAATGTTTGGGATTCAGAGATCTACATGATCAAAATGCATGTCAGTTAAATTTCATACGTTACTACAACTATGTTACATAGTGATAACTGCATGTAATAAACAGATATACTAGAAACTCTTACAGTATATTTGGTGTAGCACAACTGTGCCTTCCAAAGCTTCTAGTTAGTTAAACCCATGGTGAGAGTTCTGAATAGTCTCATTTTGGGAAAGACCCTGTGGCTGAATGACATAGGTGTTGATTGGTGTTCCCCATTTGGATCATTACTGTCCATAAAAATGATTATCTGGGAGAAAGTTTAGAGAAAACAAAATTGGAATTTTGCACGAGGTCAATTTAACTGATGCTTTGAGGGCATTATTCTGTGATATTAAAATATAGGATTTTTCGCATGCAGTTTTTATTTTTAAAGTAAGAGGTTCTTAATATATCGTCTGTAATTGGCTTATTTCAGACAGAACATTGGTGAAAGCATTCTTTATTTGTGGGTGGAGAAGATACGTGAGGTTTTGATAGAAAAATCCCAGTCATCTGAATCAGGTAATATAGGATGCCCTCCATGTATAGCAGGAAATTGGCATGTAAATTGAAAATAAGTAGAAGATATTTATGGACAGAATGAAATGTAGTAATATGAGGGGCATTGTGGCACATAGTAAATGGGCCAAACTCTTTCACTTTGAAATGTTTGCTATCTTTCCTGTCCACTTACCTATATTTTAGTTTCTATATATGATTTGCATAGTGTCATTTTAGTATTGACATAGGATCATGTTTATGTGCATGTTGTCAGTGTTGCAGCTTTATATTTCAGTGAGTGAGCAAGCTTTATGCAAGCTTTATGAATTGGATAGATAGAAAAAGACAGATGAAGCGTTGCATATTTCAGGTTTGATAGAAAACATAGAAGTGTCAGGAAAATAGTACAAACTCCCTGTAAATCTTTAAATATAAAAAATACATAAATATATATTTGACAAAATGGTATAAAATAGAATTTTTAATATTGATTTCTTTAGAGCTCTTGCCACTGAAATACTGTAAGTATTAATTAGTATTGATTTTTTACCGGTAGGCCCAGATTATAAAAAGGTTACAGAAGAAACAGATGTGGACTATGAAGAAGAATTTGCACTGGAATATCAACCTCTTCCAGATTGTACAGCTATAACGTTAAATTTTGATCTGTCTGAAAAAAAAGGTAATATTGCTATTGCTATTTCAATTAAGCTTATATAATAATAAAGAGCAAAAGCAACTCAAGGGAATTGATAACATGAAGCTCTTATGAAGAGAATGAGATCATAACAACATAGAAGTTGCTCTATGTTAAGATAGTCACTGGTTCATCCAGCTTTGTAAGGTTAACACAGATTACCTTGATCATTAGGTAATGAGAGTGCTTTTTTCTTTTTCAATAATGAGATGGACATGGACCTCCTACTTGTCAAACATATGTTTTATCATTGTACAAAGGTGTGACAGGGCCATGCAGTTTCCTCTGGCCCTCTTCCCTATATTCATATGTCAGATATGAATATATGAATTGGGGAAAGTGTTGAAATAAATACTGCTTCGGATTCTGCACTCTTGACTATATAGGATTCCAACATACATATGCATATACTATACATATACATATACTGTTGCTTATATTTCCATATCTAAAGTATTTGTTAAGACTGCAGTGCTTTGGACTTCCGGTGGTTTCAGCGACGACGATGGCGGCTTTTTATAAAGCCGCCCGTTCCTGGTCCGTGTAAAAGCCGCGGGACTTTGACAATCAGCTGTCCCGCGGCTTGAATCTCTTCCCTGGGAGAAAGGGAAGAGGAGAGCTCTCAGGTAGAGGTAAGAGCTCCCCTGGATCCCTACAATTTTGGGGATCGGAGGGTAGACCTCCCTCGGAGCCTGAGCAATTCCGCATTCCAGGGCGCCTTTGTCCCAAAGTTCAGGGATGAAGCAAGCCGCCGCTTCCACATCTGCTTTTTCTTAGCTGCTTGTGAGTATTTAAATGCAGACGGAGCAGACCAGGAGAAACTGTGCTCAAGATTGATTGTGATTTTAACTCCAGCAAGTACCTTCTTCCTTCTTTTTATTGTTTACTTTCCCTTTTGAAGAAAGGGAAAGTGAAAGGCAAAATGGCGATTGTCTTTCTTGCCTGATTTGGTTACAAAGTTAAAAGTTGGTTATAGATTAATGCTTTAAATACAGAAGCAAGAACTTGGCTTTTATTTTTTTTCCTTTTTTTTCCTTTTTTCTTTTTTTTCTGCTATTATTTAAAGAACATTTAAAGAACTGTGATTTTATAGACAAGAATCTTTCTTCTTGGAATTTAAGAAATGGCTTCAAAACGTCTGCCTCCTTCTCCTAAAGCCACTATCTCTTCCCCAATGACTCAGCCTGTTTCTCAGAAACCTAAATCACCCCCACCCTCCCCTCCTCCTGCAATTTCTCTCAAAGACTTACAAGAAGCTTTAAAAAAGAATGCTTTGGACATTAAAGAGGAAGTAAAGATCTTATAATTGCAGAGAGGGCTATTACAGAAGAATTATTGGAGAAAAAAACAAGCAAGTTAGGGAGGATATCCTTTTTGCTTTTCAAGGTCTTGCTCTGCATATAGAAAGGATCGATGACAAAATGGAGGAGATTACTGAAAATGCAACAAGACTGGAATCTAGGATGGAGGAGGTGGAGAACAAGATAGAAATTACACAGGATGAACAAACCATTTCACAATACAGAGAGATGGAGTATGCATTGCGTATCAGGGGGTTGAAAGAAAACTTTCAGGAGGACTTAAAGATGCTTATTGTGAAAGATATTGCTCTTAATCTTGGCCGGAGGCCTGAAATAATTGGGAATGAGATAGAAAAATTTTTTAGAGTTAATTCACGGGTTGCTAGACAGAGAAACTTACCAAGAGATGTGGTCATCTATTTTTCTAGAAGATTCATTCGTAATGAAATTATACAGGCTTTTTATAAACAAAAGTTTCAAATTGCAGATCAAGATGTGATAATTTTAAAAGAAATACCTCCCAAAATCTTAAGAGGCAGAAAAGATTTTACTTTTCTGTCTGATGAGCTAAAACATCGCCAAATTCAGTTTAGATGGGAGATCCCAAGAGGAATAGTAGTGAATTATGATGGGATACGTTATAGATTAACCACAGTCTCGAAGGCAAGAGATTTTTATCATTTATTTTAAAGGCAAGATCGTCCTCACCCCCACAAACAAGGATAATGGAAGAGCCCCTCATGGCTGGAGCCTCTTCAATGATGGTTATGGAACAAGTTGTACAGAACCGTGAGGTAAAAGATCAAAGGATGACACGAGCTGCCCATAAACGTAAAGAAAAAGAGCAGCAGCAGAAGAGTGGTGATAAAGTGGAAGGTATGGTTACTACAGAGCCTGTGGGAGGGGCAAGACCTAAAAGATCTTCGACAGTTGATCTACAGGCCATGCTCCAGAGGCTCCAGGCCAGTGGAGATGGCCAGGTTCCTGACCTGGAATGTTAATGGCTTAAATGTACCACAGAAACGGAGAAACGTTTTTTATTATTTGAAACAACATAACAATGACTTGATATGTTTGCAAGAGACTCATATAATTTTAAAGGATTCAAAATTTCTGATAAACTCTCGTTTGGGATCACATTTTATTGCTCCAGCTCCAGGGAAAAAAGGGGGTGTTGTAATCTACGTGAAGAAAATTTTTTCATCTAAATTAATTGAGTCTGATCCTGAAGGAAGATATCTTTTTGTGGAATTATTAATACAAGCAAGAAAGTCCTTATTGTTGGATTATATGCTCCTAATCAACAACAGAAGCAATTTTATAAGTTTTTGCATGGGAAAATATCTCAGCTGGATTACAAATCGGTAATTCTGATGGGTGATTGGAATGGAGTTTTAGATTCAACTATAGATAAAAGGAGCTCTTCTAAAACTTTTACCCAAACTAAATTACCTAAAACTTTTTTTGATTTGAAAGAAGAATTGGAGCTTATTGATATTTGGCAAGAAAGGAATATAAGTGACAGAGATTTTACTTTTTATTCGGATAGACATCAGTCATTTTCAAGGATTGACTTTTTTTTATTTCTAGTTATTTCCTTTCTAGAGTGAGGAAGGTGAAAATTTTTCCCAGGACTTTGTCAGATCATAGTCTGGTGTGGATGGAATTACATTTGGAAGATGGGAACAGAAGACCCTGGAGACTGAACGAGAACTTGTTTACTCGGGAAGAGTTTGTACAAAAATGTAAAGAGCATTTAAAGGAGTTTTTTGTATAAATATGAATAAGGGTACACCGATGTCCATGGTTTGGGACGCCAGTAAGGTGTATATGAGGGGAATCCTGATTCAATTGAATAAAGTTTTTAGAGAAAAAAGGTTACAAAGACGTAGAGAAATAGAAGAAGAGATTAAATTAAAAGAACAAGAGGTTGTTCTCAATCCAACTGATAATAACTTAAAGGTTTCAATAAAGATGCTTAGGGAACAATTTAATATGTTGATGGCAGATCAGGTGGCTACCAATCTGTCGTATGTGAGACATAATACTTTTTGCAATGTGAATAAGCCTGGGAGGTGGTTGGCTTATCAGTTACGAAAGAAACAGAAAGCTAGGATTATAGAGAAAGTAAAATATAAAGGTACTGTGGTTTTTCAGCAAGATTTGATTAAAAAGTTTTTTGGATTTTTATGTAAAATTATATTCAAGTGACAATATAAAGGGTTTGGATATAGATAAATATTTACAATCAGTGCATTTTCCTAAACTTTCAGAGGAACAACAAAATGGGATGAATTGTTTAATTACTGTGGAGGAAATTGGTCTAGCTATTAAGCAGTTAAAGGTTGGAAAGTCTCCGGGAACAGATGGATTGACCTCGAGGTATTATAAGATTTTATCTGAAGAAATGATGGAGCCATTAAAGGAACTTTTTAACAGTATTTTGCTGGGTACACAAGTTCCTCCTTCCTGGAAAAGAGCTTTTATATCACTGATCCCGAAGGAGGATCAAGATCTCACAGAGCCTAAGAATTATAGGCCAATTTCATTGTTAAATGTTGATTATAAAATTTTTACAAAAATTTTGGCAAATAGATTAATGCAGGTTATGAAGGACTTGATTCATAGTGATCAATCAGGATTTATAACAGGGCGATATATGAAATATAATGTTAGACAAATTATAAACTTAATTGAGTATCTGGATAAGAATAATCAGATTCCTGTGGCTTTTATATTTTTGGATGCTGAAAAAGCCTTTGATCAACTAGATTGGCAATTTTTATTTTCCTTGGTAGAGAAAATAAATTTTGGGGATAATTTTTTACATGCACTTAAAGCTATATATCAGCAACAATCTGCACAAATTGTTATAAATGGGAGATTGATTGAGAATTTTAATATTGAAAAAGGGAAAAGACAAGGATGTCCATTATCCCCATTGTTATTTGTTTTAACTTTGGAAATTTTGTTAATCCAGATTCGAGAATCAAAGGTAGTTAAGGGAATAAAGATAAGGAAGAATGAGTATAAACTGCGGGCTTTTGCGGATGATTTGGTTTTAATTTTGGAACAACCGACTCAAGCAATTGATTGCTTATTAGAACTTATAACACAGTATGGGAATGTTTCTGGTTTTAAAGTTAATAACTATAAGACTAAGATATTATCTAAGAATATGTCAGTTAAGGATAGGAAAAGTTTAGTTAAAGCTACAGGTTTTCAGATGGTAAAAAAGGTTAAATATCTGGGAGTATATTTAACTGCTTCGAATGGAAAATTGTATAAGAACAATTATGAACCATTATGAGTAAAAGTACAAAAGGATTTAAAGGATTGGAAAAAATTGCAATTGTCATTGTTGGGGAGAATTTCAGCGGTAAAAATAAATGTTCTACCAAAGTTTCTTTTTTTGTTTCAGATGATACCTGTTTTAAAAAAAGAGGCAAATTTGGATGAATGGCAAAAGGGCATCAATAATTTTATATGGGCTGGGAAAAAACCAAGGGTTAAGTTTAAGATTTTACAAGATGCCCGAGAAAGAGGAGGACTTAAGGCACCTAACTTGAAATTATATTATGATGCAGCCACCTTAATTTGGATAAGTGACTGGCTTAACTTAACAAATAAGGATATTCTTTTTTTGGAAGGTTGGGATTTAATATATGGCTGGCATGCATATTTGATTTTCAATAAGAAAGTCGATCGGACTTTTAAATTACATATTTTGAGGAATGCCTTACTTCGTGTTTGGAAAAAGTATTATTATAGATTAAATTATAAAATACCTATCTGGGGGATTCGCAGACATGCAATTGAGGGAACTTCTAAGGGGACAAACTTTGATAAAGTTTCGTATAAAGAACTATTAATTTGGTCCGGTTCGGATTGGCATTTGAAATCCTTGGATGTATTAAGGTAGGAAAATATTTTACAATCATGGTTTCAATATTTACAAATGGTGGATAGGTGGATTGTAGATAAGAAAGAGGGAATAACACTAGAAGATAAACAATTGGTCATTCAGTTTAAAAATCAGAGTCAGGCTCATATAAAAAGAATTTATAATGTTTTACTAGAGTTAGATTCGGAAACAGAATTGGTTAAAGATTGTATGATTAAATGGGCTCAGAATATACAGGAACCGATTTCATTGGATTTATGGGAGACAATTTGGATTAGAAACGTTAAATTTACACAAGCTCAAAATTTGAGGGAAAATTTTTATAAAATGTTTTACAGATGGCATTTAAATCCTAAAAAATTATCCTGTATGTATCCTAATATACAGCCCAAATGTTGGAGATGTGGTAATAAAGATGCGACATACTTTCACATTTGGTGGAATTGTAAAAAGGTAAAGGCCTTTTGGATTATGATTTGGTGGAACATTCAAAAGATTTTTAGAAGGAAGATAAAGTTTACTCCTCAACTATTCTTACTGGGTATTTTTGTGGATTTAAATGACAAAGAAACGATTTTAATGTTGAATTTATTAACTGCAGCAAGGTTATTAGTAGGTTTATATTGGAAGAAAGATTCTTTGCCTACTTTAGAAGAATGAATATTTAAAGTTTCTAGTTTTGCAGAAATGGCAAAAAATTCTGCTTATTTAAAGGATCATACACAAGAAAGATATATTACTGTATGGAGAAGATGGATAGATTATATTCAGAAAAAGTATGGAACTAAAAAGTTTCATTTATTTTATGAATGAATTTTATAGTAAATATTATAGAGAATTGTTTAGAGGTTATTGGAGTTAAAGGTTAAGTATGATATTTTCTTTTTCCTTTTCCTTTTTTTCTTTTTTCTGTGGGTTTTTTCTTTTTTTTTCTTTTTTTTTCTTTCACTGCAAATTTTTGTTATTATTAACCCTGTATTCTGCTCTGGGAAGTGAAGGGAAGGGGGTTGGGGGTGGGAGGGTGGAAGAGTGGAAGAGTGGGGCGGTAAGGGTAATATAGATAATGGTTGCTTATAGAAGGGTGCGGCCTGGGCAGTTCCCCTATGCAGTGTTCATGGGTTTGATAGGTATGAGAGGAGAAGAAGGTGTAGAGAGGAAGTAGGATAGTAAGTGGAGAGGGGGAGGGGAAGAGAGTAGGAGGGGAGGAGAGAAAGAGGAGGGAAGTAGGGAAGGTTTTAAAAGAGGGTGGACTCTGCCTGGGGGGAATGGGCAGGTCGTACCAATGGTTAAGAATTTATGTTATTTTAAAATTGTATCTTTTACAATGTATAACTGAAAAAAATAAAAAAAATTTAATAATAAAAAAAAAAGACTGCAGTGCTTTGGATTTGATTTCTAGAAGATGCACAGGGGTCCCAGAAATGAGAAAGGAACAAATAACAGAATTCTAATATGAAGAAATCTTAGTTCCTTAACCTAGTTATCTTGGTTCTTTGTAAATAGTACAGTGAGATAGTGATTAGATTTGATTATATGAGTTAAGTGTGAATTTTTTCTCCTGTCTTGTTTCCTAGTTTGAGGCAACCCATGCTTTGCAATTGGCTGAAAAGCAGGATTAAAGTCTTGAAAGCAATAAGCATAAAAAAAAGAATTTTTTTTAAAGATTGATGAACATGACTAGAAATAATTATTTATTGTTAAGATTTAAAGAGCCCAGAGATAATATTTGTGAAGAGGAGAAACAGGTTAACCAGAAGCATTCAAAATTCTATTTGAAATAGGTAGAAAATTCAGTAAGCCATCCTTGTACAAAATCTGAATTTTTCAATTTTCAGATGAAGAGTTAATTCCAATTTATCATGGAAACCCAATTACAGACCGAAGAAGCACATTTCAAGCACATTTAGCACCTGTTGTATACCTTGAACAGGTTAGTAAACCCTGATTTCAAATAATCATATCATTATGTTTTCCAATAGTTTATAACATATGGGTTGAGCATATTCATATCTATAAATTAATTGAAAGAACATAAAACTGCTTGATAACTTTCTTAATTTGCAGACCTCACTATCCCATTCAGTGGAATGTAATTGATTAATCTAGAAGTTTACATACGGTAGAGATTCTGATTTTATTTTTTTACTTTAATATCTATAAACAGTAGTATGTTACAGTAGCTGGTTTTCTCAGGTTGAGTGATCTTATGGGTAAGTTGTTGTGAAGAAGGATTTTCTGATCATGTGGATTTGGGAGCAGGGCCATGCTGCTGCAGAAAAATAAGTATTTTATCCATGCATTATGTTGACTGATGAACAACTGGAAGTGAAAATAGCACTTGGGTATTTTGCTTGTACGTATGGGAAATGTGGTATCAAGAAAGGACATCTTAGTGCATTATAAATTTAGCTTACTCTCTGGCAACTTGCACTATCTATAGCACTTTTTTATGGACAGACCCATTAGTATGTGAATGGAAAATGAACGAAAGATTTGATATAGGCTGAAACAAGATCAGAATGAGGCTGGAGAAGGCTGAAAACATGCTAAGACATGGATCATAGAGAAGAATGATGGATAAGAAATGAGAGAGGAGAAAATAATTGTCTGGGATATTAAGAGCTTGATACTACTGAAATAAATACTAAATTCCTGGACTAACTCATGGACAAGCAAAGGAAACCAGTAAGAAACTTCTATTGTCTTATAAAAGATATCAGCCTGTGGAATGGGTAGGATAATAAGATTGAATGAAGGAATGGGAATAAAGAACTGTTTCTGAGTGCTATGGGAGATACCACAACGTGGCAAAGTATTCGTGAAGGCAGAGTATGACATCTACTTTAGTGTGCACCAATTAAGATAGAACTTCTTTCCAAGTGGGTTACTGTATAAGATGACATATCAAAAATAATAGGCACTGTCTGCTACTTAGAGAATATTATTTTGAGACAGCTCACAAACACCATGACTATCCATCTGCTTTTTCTCCAAAACTCATCTTGGCTACATAAGTATAGCATCCATACTAAATCTATGGAAAACCAACTTCTAACTAACATCTGGGCTACATTTGTATTACAGTAACCACTCTTTAATATTAAGCAATTTTTGTCTGTTCTGTAAAAATAGAGTTGTATTACATTTAGTGCTGATCTGGTATCTGGACTGCATCATTATCTGTTGGTATCTAAGTTAATTTGTATGGAAAATAAAATTTTATTTGGTGAATCATAATTTTCCTGGTGTGTTTTTATTCAAAAGAATCAATGTTTTAATTAAAAGTGTCATTTAAAAAGGCAGGATATAATTTTAATTAAAAACAGTTATAATTAATTGTATTTTCTGCCTTGTCTCAGATCCTTATATTGGCAAAACATACAAAAATACAGTAGCCATGACAGGTAGGTAATTGGGTGGAACCAACTATATTAATAGGCAGTGTTGCAAGTTATAATTCAAAGATTTTGACAATAGCAGTTTATCTACTTCTACTATCAAGTCTTTGTGACTAAAGGATCCATAACATCTCACTTGTGGTTATGTGATAGTTACACAAATCAGAGAACAGCAAAATATACCTGTGAAGCTTCTGTTGATTAGAAATGAGTGGTCCCTGGTTCTCCTCAAGTTATTGGACCTCAGTGCCCATTATCCATAACTATTGTGATTAAGATTGTTATTGATTAGATTCTACCAATATCTGGAAGACTATGGATTACCTACTTGTGGGGCCTATTTGTTTTGGAATAAGTTCCATTACACTCAACGTTTTTCATACACTGTGCTTTTCTTCATGCATATGTCTCAGGATGTTCCAGTGTTATGTGTGTTGTGGAACATTTTTGTTATGTACAGATGAATCACTAAGCAATCATAGCACTGTTTATTTGGCCACATTGTTTTCCTTTGTCTCTTGTCTTGGCCTTTTAGCTAAGATCAAGTGTACGAAGAGGGATATACTGTATATAGGAAATATGAGCTACACTTCAGCAGTGTTCTCACTGACATAGTAATTGACTCTGCTTTTAAATAATAGAAATACAACAAAAATAAACATTGAATATGTATTTTGATGACTCTAGAGGAATGACTTTTTTCTTTTGAATTAAATGCTGTTTGCTTGCCAGACATGTTTTCTCAAGCTCGTAGAACTTTAATATTGTTTTGCTTAAAGTGGTATTAATTATGCATTGTTTATTAATATACTTTCTTTACACAGCCTTTATTATATAGGGAAATGTAATCTCTCTAATAAGAATAATACAGTTGTTACTATATTTGAAGACAGGAAAAAGATAACTTAAAAATTACAGCCTAATTATTTACTGAAATCTTTTGTGACTGTAATGCTGACAATTGAAACAAATGTGTTAGAGAAGACATATTTATTACTACAAGCTAACTCAATGGATTCTGCAATTTATTAGACAGGATGCAAACAAAATTAAAATATTTCAGTCCTATACATTTTGATTTCTTAGAAGAAAGGCACTGCAAATATAGTGACTTAAGTATCACTAATCAGATTTAAAGCAGGCTTATTGATTTTTTAAGTGTATTCTTAATTTAGCCTAAATCTAGACCCAGCCCAACAATTTGAAATATGAATGTTGAATACCAAAGATCACATATTGATTAAAGCTGCTAATTTAATTAATGCTGTTTCAGATTTATGTTCAAGGATCATTTGACTTTCTATAAATTGAGTAGTGATTTTTTGCAGCATCTGATGAGAATTGAATTTATTATTTTGATGACAACATTGGTAATTTTATTTTCTACCATTTAATGTGGAATCTGAAAGCTACTCTATTTTCTATGTATATGATCACCATAAATTTGTATTTTGTTTTTACAACTCTTCCACAATTTTTTGTTCTACATTTTTGCCTGCTTGATTTCTTTGTCCCTAATGCTTATTTAATATAATAATAAATGCCTTGCATTCTAAATTCCTATTCAGTTCAGTTAAGGAGGAAAGTTATTTCTGGGCATTTGCCAGCTCCCTGTTGCCTATTGTAAAATTTGTTCCTAAGGATTTACCAAATCTTAAAAGCAGAGTTCCCTAAAGGAGTAATTCTGTGATATCTTTTCTATTGAAGGAAAAAAAAGTTAGAACTCAAGTTTATGTTTCTGCCCTAATTGTCAGCCATGACTGATTCTCAAAACAGCTAGAAAGTACAGTCTATTTTAAGAGAAAGAAAGTGTGTTGGTTAAAATATGCCTTCTATATTCTCCAATCAATGTTGCCTTAATTGTATTCAAATATGCAAGAATTAAGCATCAATTAAGCATCCAAGTAAAGCATATAAATCCTAATTATTGTCTGAAACTTTTTCTTCCAAGGTGAAAATTGTTCTTGCTGACTTGTACAAAAATAAGAAAATAGCCAGTGCTACTCACAACATATATGCTTACAGGTGAGTAGGTAAGATTTGATGCTAATTACTACAAAATAATGAAGAGGATAAAAATCTACCAATGAATGTTCTGTCTCTTGGATCTATAGGTTCAGGCCCAGTAGAATTGCATGTGATTATTCATGGATTATTCGTGGATTTTAGAGAATTTTATAAAAGCAGTAGATTGATAAACAAGCAAACATGTTGTGATATAGAATTAAGATACATATTTGCATTGTGATCTAGAATTGTTTTTATTTTAAGAATATACTGTGGAGACAAGCAGACTTTTTTACAAGATTGTGAAGATGATGGTGAAACAGCAGCAGGGGGCCGTCTTCTCCATCTTATGCAGGTGAAAGGAATCAGTTGGTAACAAGATATTTTTCATTCTTTGTAGCCATAATATTATAATCAGGAGATTCATAGCCATAACTTTTGTCAGTGGATACATACAAATACAGCATATTTGAGATTATTATTTGTCATTTGGAATAGTTTGACCAATGATCAAATCGTGAAAATATGGACAAGAGATCAATAATATTTGATATATTGAATAAAAATATTACTTCCAGAGTCATAAAGTGGCAATTGATGTTTAAAGTTTTATCTTTAACTTTTTCTTGCCTATGATTTATATCACTGCCTTGTCAGTATGAATAATTTTAGAATGAAGTAATAACCAGCTTTTCAAATCATTTCTTTGTGGACCATCCAGAACAAAATGGTAGATTACAATATCTGAAAAAAACTTAGGTCAGAAAGGCTATGCTAAATTGTAAGTAAGATCTAGGTTTGCTTTGCCTTGGTGGAAGAATACAGCAAAAATGAAGCATTAACCATCTTTTCAGTCGTTGCTGATGGTCTGATAGGATAAACAGAAGTTTAAAGATATAGGAAAGAACATTGAACGTATAAACTTTCTCCTTCTTTTACCTATTAGAAAGCAGAAGCTCTGCTTTCAGAAGTTTTTATCTAGAACTAATATCAGATTTGCATGGTATCTGAAAATGGATATCTAGTTAACTGTGATTTAATGGCATCAACCACAACTATGAAGAGGGCTTGCTTCAAGTTGTGGGTTGATGCTGCAAATGTATATTTTTCTAGAATTATATTTTGCAGTATGTAGTATGGGTTGAGTTGACAATTAAGAAATGCTTATTGTATGTAACAAAGTGAATCAAATCTAAATATGAATATGTAATTTTTTTAATATAGATTCTGAATGTCCATAATGTTTTGGTGGTAGTGTCCCGCTGGTATGGTGGTATCCTTCTAGGACCAGATCGTTTCAAACACATCAACAATTGTGCCAGAAATATACTTGTGGAGCAAAATTACACTAATCTATCTGTAAGTTTTTAGTAAAATATCTATAGCAGTAGCTTTCTTCTCATATGTTTCTTTTGGTATGGGTAGGGTAGAGCAAAAATGAATGCCTAACATCATTGACGATGAATGTTATCTACAATAGTATCCTGTAAATTAATTTATTAAAGTGTTTTTATTTAAGAAAAAAATATGCAAACTTCTTTGTAAGTTTTCCTCATTTAAACAATTATAAACCTTTTATTACTTTTATAACCAATTTTTACCCAATACAAATAATTTTAAATAATTTATATGAATAAAACTTTCTCCAAAGCATTCATGAAAGAGGGATAAAATAAGTGTAATATAATATTAATTTTAGGTAATTAACCCTGTCTATATGCTAATAGTGTTCAGAAAAGCATGTGATCTGTGTAAAAAAGTAACAGTTAATTAGATATATTTATCTGATTTTTTTTTTGTATATAATTCTCTAGCAAAATTCATCTAAGCCTCTTGGAAAGAAGAAAGGAATAAGAAAAGACAAGAAGAAAACAGAACATTGATATATTTTGCAGAATTACATATCCGTATTTCAGCTTTCAGCTGTCACCACTCAATGATTCTATATTCTAAACCTTTTGTTTCAAAAGTGTAGAAACTCTTTGCAGTAATAAAAAACCTTCTTCCTAAGAAAACTCAGCCATTGAAATAGTAGCAACAGACCCGGAAAACACCTTCAATTTGTTCACTGTTTCAGCCTCTCAATATAAAAGCTTCCCTCTGAATTTAGTCTTTGATTTGTTAAAAAAAGCAATTACTACCATGTTTCCCCGTAAGTAAAACCTACCCCCAAAATAGGCCCTAGCTTGATTTTCGGGGTGGGCTTAATATAAATCCTACCCCCAAAAAAGCCCTAATTTTGGGATGAGGCACACGCCTAAAAATCAAGCTAGGGCAGGAGTCACCATTGCAGCCAGGCCTCCCATGGATCGACACTTCCTTCACCCGCCTACTTCTGCAGCCGAAGGAGCAGCTTCATTCTGCAGCTGAGGATGGAGCTTAGGTTAGGCCTGCATTTTGCCTTTCTGAAAGGCCTCTGCAGCCGAGAACCAAGGGTGGGGGGGAAGAGAAAATAGTTATCTTTTGTTAGATTGCTGCAACCAGGGAAGCTTTATTAATGACCCCTACCTTAGAGCAACACTGTTAATAGCTACCGGTATGTATTGATGGAGAAGCCCTTGCCTCTGGGAGCAGCTTGCAAAAGAAATAAGATTGATATTTTGCTTGCATAAAGCAACCAAGGCAGGGTGGATTTCCAGCTACATAATTCTTGCTTTGGATAATGCGCACAGCTTATATTATCTGCCTAAATGTGTATCAGCTTTCTGATATAGATATTTATAGTGCTGGGCTAGGACTCTTTTTACCCTAGTCTCACTTTCTCAGCCTTATCTTTGTGACTGTGGGTGAGTGAATGGGCATGTGTGTACGTATGCATACACACACACACACACACACACACACACACAGAAACACGTGTGTCTTCAAGTCAGTGTTGACTCCTGGTCACTGCCTGGATTAATCCCTGCAGTTGTCTCCAAGTTCACTCAGCTGACTTTGTGCCTAAATTGGGATTAGAACTCAACAGTCACTTGGTTTCTAGCCTGGTGTCTTACCCCTGCACCAAACTGTAATCTATTTATAGTTGGCGTGATTATAAAAATGGAAGATGCATACACACACACACAAACAAGCACCATGTTGTAGTGAACTCCTTAGAGCTACTTCGTGGATATGCCTATTTCATGTTTTGGCAGAATTACGGAAATAATACAGAAAAAAAGTTTCTTCTAGGAAGCTTTTCAATTTCACATGATAGCCTCCAGCCCTAATATTCTCGACAGGCCTCCCATCTGAATATTAATGAGGTCTGTCTGCTTAGCATTTCAACCTAGACAAGATTAGCCAGGTGCTGTGACCTGCTGAGACATTGAACTATGGATTGGGCTAAAAAAAAGCTGTGTGAATGTACACGTGTAAATAAATAGCAAGAATATGCAGCTCTTCAGATCTCATGCTGAAAATGTATTTCAGAATTGGACTGGACATATACATCAACCACGCTTATGGGTGTCTTTCTAAAGAAGCTGCATTTTTGCTTGGCTTGCACTATAGCTGTGCACAGTAAGGAAAATAATCCTTTTCAGTTAAGGAAATGCTGAGTTAGTGGCTATACCTGTTCAGAGATACCTTGCCCCATCCTGCTGATCCCTTCTAAACACTCAGTCGAGTATTTTCCTGGGATTGCAAAAGGTAGTATATAGCTTCTTTAAGTAGATATCTCTGCCTTACAGAGCTTCAAAGTGCTGCATATCCCTAATAAATTGCTATTGCAAAAAGCAGATTTTTTTAAAAAAGGCTATTACACATGCAAAAACTTGCCTTCAAAGGACCCTGTTTGTCCTAATAAAAGAAAATGATTAATTACTCAACAAATCTTATTGAATTAGAGGACACTTGCTCCATTTGCTTATCTTTAGTATGCAAAGCTGCATAAACCTGCTCTCAGACAAACAACTACTGGGAGACCCCATAGTTATGAATCTTGCATTTATAATTCTGACTCTTGCTATGAATCAACTATGAATATTGCTTTTCACTTTTGGATTTACATTCTATTTAGGCTATGAACTCTTTGGGGAGCGAACCAGTTTTGTAGCTATATTTTCATTTTTAGAGGAACAATTATGGAGGAACAGAGAAAATGATTAGATGATATGAATATCCAGTACTTCAAGTTTGATTCCAAAAAGATGCTTTACAAAACATAGAAGTGTGAACTTGGACCTACCTGCCATCCTTTAAAGCAGCTATACCTTTTCTTAAGATCAATAGGCAGCTGCAGAAGGCAGCTGCACAATCTGGGGAAAAGATATGGCTGCTTTAAAGACTTGGTGATAAGCCAAATCAATGGGGAAGCCAGATTCATTTAATAACCATGTTACTAACTTAGCAACTGCAGTGATTCACTTAACAACTGAAGCAAGAAATATCGTAAAATGGGGCAACTCACTTAACAAATGTCTCACTTAGCAACAGAAATGTTGGGCTTAATTTTGGTTGAAAATCAAGGATTACCTGTATTATTTATCAGAAATTATCCATTCCCAAACAGTTTGTTTTTCCTGATTAAAAAAAATCCCATAGATGCTCAGTTTTAGCACAGAGAAATGTGGTCTTTCTGTCCCACTTCCCACAGTTGCATGGCTTCTCACTAGCAATGGGTGTTTCGAGCCAGCCTTACACTTGGCTAAATTCTTGGGCTTGAAACAGGAAAGCTCTTTGAGATTGTGCATACTAGGTAGTGCTAGGATACTAGTCATACTGGGATAAGGTAGTGGTTGTTATGTGTTGGTCAAGGAAGATTCCACAGGAGCCTCCATGTTATGTCATTAACAACATCCTTATAGGGTAGGTTGGGCCAAGAGTGACTATGTCAAAGTCAATTTTAGAGAGATTTCATAGATGAGAGAGGGCTTAAGTCAGGGTCTCTCCACTCCAAGTCCAAACTCCTTAACCACTACACCACAATGGCTTTCTTCCTGGTAAGGAATCCACAGGTCTTCAGTCAGACCACAAATTCTAGTTTGGCAAACAGATTTCATTATGATCTTAAATCTAGTTGGACAACAGGCTCTGTCTTGTGCAATTATTTTGAACACAACAAACTGTACCTTCTCTTTTGTTGCGAGTTAAAAAGGGGAACTTCTTGTCCCTTGTCACATGTGGGATTAAATAATGTAAATAGAGGAGGCATCCAAACAGAGTTGCGATGGCTGAGTCTTATTAGCATTTTCTTCAAGTAAACTAAAAGGCAAATACACTTCAGACCCCAGTTTTGATTACCCTCATTTGCATTATAGATCTAACAGTTCCAATTTCCTCATATTGATTTAGTGTGAAATGAATACATACATACATACCCATCTATTTCAGCTTGAAATTAGTCTGTTTGCAGAAATAGATATTATTTTTGTTTCTTAAGAAAAAGGCTCAGACAATGAATAGAGACAAAGGAATTGAAAGGTCTACTTTTGGTTAGATTATTAATCTTTCAAACAAATGAATATGCCCCAAGAGAACCTAGGAAAGGGTCTACCATATCGTATTAACTGGCTTAGCAGACTGAATACATGAATAATTCAGCTAGGAGAGCTTTTTATTTTATTTTTTTCATGATGATGTATCACCATGTCTCTGAAGAATTAATACTGAATCACGAAATGCTGGAAAGGGTGTGCGTATTCAATTCCTCTAGGAACTGTGGCAATCCATCCATACATGCATTGATACATACCCATCATGTGATTCCTTTCTGAGATAAGAAATATTATGCAAAAAGGTAGAAGGGGAATAAAAACAGGAAGCCAAAGTAATGAATGGCATGAGGTAAGAACAGGAAGCATAGCTAAAAGTAGTTTACAGCAACACCCTACCTCTCTCCACTTTTCCATCTTTGCAAACCAATCTTGCTTTTCCCATGTACCTCTTCTCACATTCTTTTTTATTCATTAGCTGTAGCAATGAGGGAGATTAAACATGTTTTCTCTCAGTAACTTTTAGCCCCTGAGTAACTATCAACTAGCTTTTGCTTTTTCTTGGCAGTCACTAATATAGTATAGATGCTCAGTTTGGGATATAGAGTATCATTTTCGTAAGGAAACAGGTTACATGTCATAATAGCTCAGCCGCTGGAATGTGCTGGAACCTCCCCTTGAGAAGTTTTATCTTCAGTGGCAAATTGGTCAATGTTCCAGGTTGAAAGGAGCCACAGAAATACAAACACAGTGAGAGTCAAGTTTCTGATGCACGTATGCAACAGCACCCTTTTTAATTTCAAAATTATAACTTCCACTTCAGCACAGATATAATTATGAAATACAAGGATCTGGTGGAGTCAGGGAAACTGTGTGAATGCAGTAAAATATTTTTCTGCTATTTGTGTTGTCTTCTATTTAAAATAAATCTGGAAGAAATCATCTTTATCGGCTATATTTTACCATTGATAATATAAAGTTCTGGAAGGAATTTCCATTTTTTATTCAAGATGAGGCAATATTTATTTATTTATTTATGAGACTTATATACTGCTTTAAGTGCAAGCACTCTCTAAGCGGTAACATCTCTCATGGAAAATTTCCTGTGATGGAGAAAATCTGTTAACAAAGACAGTGCTGGACATATACTTTAAGCTCTGCAGTCCTAGGTTTTTGAATTGCAAAAAAAATCCAGCAACCACTAGAGTCAGCTGATAATAGAATTTGAAATAATAAATGAATGCATCAATAAGTGGCAATAGTCAGGTTTTCTGCATCCTTCTGCTACCATCTAGTGGTCATCTGCAACACTGCAGATACTGTTCAGTATTCAAATATTAAATGTCAAAGATAATAGAATTGTATCTGCTTTTAAAATATTAGTAGGCCAGCAGGATAGACAGGAGGTAACTATTAAAAACTGCTTCTGGTGTCTTTATAAAGATACCTGTCTGGCTAAAATCTGAATTATTCAGTATATCCGTCCACTGGTTTTAATTCCTGGCCTTCTTATTTCAATATTGTACAATCATGATTTATTGTAATATTCTTAATCTATTTTTACTCAGATTTGGAATTTATTTCCTTATTGCTTTAAA